TAAGCCACTGTCCCTGCGTGGTGACTGCCCCAGCTGGGTGCACACCTTGATCCAGAGCGGAGGGAGGTGGTGGTTGTGGGGGCTGAGGGCTTGAGGCTTGCTTGTTCAAGCACTTAACAAGACACGCTCCCCTGCCCCCTGCCCACTAGGGTGTGCAGCACCTCCCCTCTCCTCCCTCCTGCCAGGGTGGCCGTGACTGTCAGCCGCAAACCCGCCCCCAGACACCCCTCCGTGGCACATGTATCAGCTGACTTGCCATCAGGAGGAAGCGACTGAGGCCTTAAAAAAACACAAAAGCAGCCAAAAGAAATGCCCCTCTCTGTGGGCCACCTTTCCATGGCTGCCGGGCTATATCTTACCAAGGCCGTAAGCGGGGGCTGTGTTAGAGAGAAGTCTCCGACGCCCCTCAAAGTTAGGTATAGGGAGGGGTGGCTGGAAGAGGGCAGATCCAGCCCAGATGACAAGCCGGGCCCCTCTGGGAAGGCAAACATGTCTTTCCTTCCCACAGGGTCTGGCTTGGGCTGGTCCACCTTCAAGGGACACTGACTCCTCACCCCAGTGGGGATTTGGTTGTATGGGGACAGGGCAGGATTTATCCTGGAGAGAGTCCTACAAATTTTAAGAAGGAATGTGGATCTACAGATTCCATGCAATTCCAATCAAAATCCTAGCAAGCTTTTTTATAGATACTAACAAGCCGATTCTAAAGTTTATAAGGAAAGGCAAAGGAACTGGAACAGGCTAAGATTCTGAGAAGTGTCCTTAAGGCAAATGGGCAGCAGCACGGGAAGAGAGGAAGATGGCGATTCTCCAGCATGGCTGGTGAGGGGCGAGGTCCCAGGGTGCCTGCCTCCGATCCTGCTGGGTTTTCCCGTCTCCTCAGCCACCTGCCCTGGCCCCACACTGCATCTGCAAAACGACGCTCCTCAATGACTTTGCTGAGGATGAACTCTATCAAGGAGGGGAGGTCCCACAAACGATCCTAATGATTCATTTCTTGGTCACAGGTACTTTTACTTCTTCTCTCATCCACCGACCTTGCTGTTTCCCCAATTTGCAAAGTGAGCACAGCTTGTGTGAGAGTTCTGCCTTCTCCACGTGTGTCTGGAGTCCTTCAACTCTCTCAGGAGGGCCTAAAAGTGTCTTCTTTCTGCCCAGAGCCCAGCACTTGCCAGATAAAAAGTGATGTATTTGCTGTACTCATCAGGGAAGCAAGCTGCTATCTTTCTCCCCCTCTTTAGTCGAAGATACTCGGGTGAGGCTCACTGAGGCAGTAACTTGTCAGGGCCAGAAGGCTAATAACAGGCAGGCCTGGCCTCACACCCGGAGCTGCTTCCAAGTCCCGAGCTTTCTCCATCTGCCTGGTTTCTACAATTTTGGGGCCCGCTGTTGCACAAAGAACTGTCTCAACTTTTATTTTGCTCAGTCCTGTCGGTGTAAACAAAAGTGCATGAGGAACTTCTGGGAAGTTCATCTGGGAAGTTCATCACCAACCGAAGACACGGGCTGGGCTGCCCCACAAGCTTGTGCAGCGCCGATGGGGCCACATTGAATCTCCCTCCCTGCTCCAGTGACCCGTACAAAGCCCACGCTGGGCTTTCCAAGCCATGGGTCAGAGGGTGTCTGTGCATGCCTCCCCAACAAGCGGTTACCCCACTCTCTCTTTCACCCTGCTGGTTCACACCTCTGGGCCTTCTCTGCCCAAATCCTACCCACTAAGATTCCAGACCCAACTCAAAAGGAATGTTCTTCATGAGGCCTTGTCCTGTTGCCCCTGGCTGAAGGCAGCCTGGAGTGGGCCCTGCATTCCTCTCAGGACACCTCAGAAGGGCTGGTGCCCACAGGGGTGCCCACCTGGCACCTGGGCTCAGTGTGGGCTGACCTGGACCGAAGCAGACTGTTCTTACCTCCCAGGAGCCAAGGAAGCGAAGATGCTCACTGGTAACTGGCCTCAGAGGTCATCCCTGCCCGCCCCCCAACTCAATGGAGCTGGAAGGCTGCCCCTTTCCCCCCATCGGCAAAGGGGGCCATGGCAGGGGCTGTGGCCTAGGGGCTCCATGGAGCCTGCTCCCAAGCCATAAACATCCTGCTGGGAGTCCCTTTCCAGACCTGGAGAACCGATGAGGAGAAAGGCCCCCTCTCTGCTATGACAGACACAGAGTCTGCTGCCTCAGGCTCTTCCTGGAAAGCCCACACCCCAGCCCTAGACCCTGCAGTCTGGGGTTAAACCCACAAGGGTCTGGCCACTTGGTACAGGGACTGAGGCTCTGCCCTGCCTTCCCGAATAATCCAGGCAGCACCTTCACTCTAAGCCTGTTCAAGGTAAGAGCCCCTTTTCCTGGGGCGCTACAAATTCCTGCACAACTCCACGCCCGGCTAAGGCGGGCTTTCCTGACAACCGAGGCGGTGACTGAGCAGCGGAGGGACGGCCACGCAAGCGAAGCTCCTGATTCCCAGGCCAGACCCGGCCCCCACACACCCAGCCTTAACCGAGGCGGGGTCAGAAAAGTGGAAGAACAGGAGGAGCTGAAGCAGAACTCCATCCAGTGCCCCACGGGTTTGGTCCCTGGGCTGCTGTGAGCAGGCCCTCCGACCCCCCCCCACCCGCCCCCACGGGTCCAGCTGGGCGGGCTTGGCAGGGGATTTCAGAGGGGGTCTCGGGCTTCGCCACAAATGACTCGTTAAGGCCTAGAAGGTGAACGGGGGCTTTTTTACCCAGAGCTCCGGCGGAGGAACCTGGGGCCCTGCACCTCTTTTTCACACTGTTTTCGTGATGAAACCTCTCAGGCACACAGAAACATTCAGAGAATAACACAACACTTGTGCTCACTTCCTCCAAAGTCTACAAAAGCAACACTCTGCCGTTTTTGAGACAGGTTTGCTCCTCCCCACTCCCCCGTTTTTGTTATAGAAATCCTATGTTGTGGCCGGTCACAGCCTTTCCCTAAACCTGTTTCCTCCCCGATTCCCAGCAGCTAATCTGAGGGCAGGAGTGGGTGCACGGCGGAGAGCATGGTCCCATGTCTGTAGCTTCCACTTCAATGCCCTCTTCCCACACACTTGTTTTTCTGTCCAGTCTGTCGGCCTCCAGAGAGCATCCGCCCCGTGAGGGCAGGGACTGTGTTTTGTCCTCTGCCGCCTTCCAGGCCAAATCAGACAACCAACTGAGCCAGGGCTTGTGGAGCTAATAACACCTCTATCATCATGTGGGTTTCTGAAATATATATATAAACGTTCCTGCCCTGTGTGTTCTCACTTCTGAAGCCTGCTCTTTCCTCCACTGACAACGTGTTTGAGATTCAATCCCATGGCTCAACAATCAAGTGTTCTACCGTATGACCCACCCGTCTGCTCACCAATGCTCCTTCTCTTTCTCATCAGGGAGGAGGGGGATGAGAGCAGGGACCTCCCAGCAAAGCGAAGACAGCCCAGAAACCAGGACTCAAGGCTCTAGCCAGCGATTGACCAAGAATCTAAGTAAGAACAAGCCAGAAGAAAATTGAAGGTCCCCCCAGCAGGTCCCACAGAACAGGGGAAACTGTGCAGGCATGCACCCCCAAACCACACAAGTGGGGTTGCTTGGCAAAAGAGCAAGGACCTGGCCTTCATCTCTGTCATCGGTGAGGGCCCCTTGAGGGGCTGGTGGAGGGGGCCAGACCCAACAAGAAAGCAGAGAGCCCAGCACTAGGGTGGCGGGGGTCCCAGCACCACCACTGAGCACAGAGCCGTTCCCATTTCTGGTAATAGGTGAGGTGGCAAGGACCCTACAGGGCTGCCTGTGGGGATGGTGTGAACCCACTCTGTAAACTGTCATGCAGGCGAACACACACAAGCACACACACACAACCCTGTGGACTTGAAAAAGCCCTATCTCCTGTGAGATCAGCTCCCGATGAGGGGCCGGCACCCGGGGAGGTTCCACGCATACTGGTAAAGTTAAGTGGCATCAGGAAGTCCTCCTTCCTCCTCCGGGGAGGGTCCTCCACCTCCTGCTGTACCCCTCAAAGCACAGCCCGTCCAGGGAAGTTTACTTCAGACATCCAGATCCACAACCCCATGTGAGCAGACACCTTCAAGCCCTGAGCCTGAAGGAAACTGCTCAGAACGGAGGACATCAAGGTGACCTGTCCATTCAGAAACCAAGTCTGATCCCAAGCACAGTTCCCCCGCGGCCCTTGTGGCCCGAGTTCAAGACTGGGCGTGGGAGGGAGGGCACAAGACCCCGGAACTCTGGTGTGGAAGTGCTGGGCGAACAAGAAGGTTCTCCCCAGCTCACAAAGACCATCCACACAGCGCCTGCCCACCCCACACTTCGGATTTGCAAATGTTTCCCAGGTATTTTTGATGCAAAGCAGCACCCAAGCTGTGTGGAGGTGCCAACCCTCGAGAAGGGGCGAGGGGAGACTGTGTGCCCGCAATCACAGGGAAGAGCACCGTGTTCGGGCAACTGAAGTGGACTCGACCAGATGACAGGATCTGGCAAAGAGAAACACTCTCCACGGCTTCCTGAGGGGGCCGGGGAGCACAGACAGGGAGGAAGCAGCGGAGACTCAGAGCTGAGCTCCACAAGAAGACCGAGCTATGGAAGGTGGAGAGGAGAGGACAAGGAATCCAGGCCGAGGGAGGAGCACACACAGAGGATGCCATCAGGAGACTCCAAAGGGTCAGAGGGCTTACGGGGAACCGGAAGGGGCTGGACGAGACCAGGTGGCCCAGGCAGAGCGAACACGCCAGGCATGGTTTGGACCTGATTTTGCAGGTGCTGTGGACCCACACCACGCAAGTGGTTTGGAGATAAGCCTTCATGAGGGTCGGGAAGAAACTGCGGTGGCTGAGTAAAAGGTGGCTGGCCAGTGGGGGAAAGGGAGCAAAGAAGGCTCCGGCTGGGGAGGGTGAGCTTTTCATGCCTGCACAAGGCAGCCACGGGGCGGTGGGGGAGGCACGGGGTAGAGAATGTCAACATCGAGGTGGGATGACAGAGAGCTGCACACGGGCCTCACCTGTGCTTCTCGCCTTCCTCCTCCCCTTCTCTGAGCTGCTTGGTCTTGGGCTCCCCATCTTCCTTGTCCTGCAAAGGAAGGGAGAAAACCACTCGCTCAGACGGATGCTCCTACTTCCAGTCCTTGATGCCCAGGGAGCTGGGGAAGAACGGGACACCTCAGGAGCCTCTCACCCTGGCAAGGAGCAGCTTGGTGTTGCAGCCTCCAAGGGGTGCACAACACTGGAGCCTCACTGCCCATCCTTCAACTCCCCCCCCCCATGACGCCCACAAAACCTAATAGCCGGTGACCCCAGCCCGGGCCAGGCCCACGGTGACCCCCAGAGAACACTAGCAGGAGGAGCTAGGTTTGAGTGGTGAGAAATGCAGGTGGTCGGTGACCCCTCAATGGGTCTGGATGGAGCCACCCACTCAGCTGGGAAGGGCAGTCACCAGCGACCAGGGTGGGGCAAAAGCTCGGGCCTCCTGACCCCCACTTCCAGGCCAGAGGCCTCTCTAGGAACACCTACTTGCTTACCTTAAGGAGTAGCAATAACTCAAACTAGAACCAAGCTGAGAATAAGACTCCTGCCATGTATTCAGGGGATGGAGAGAAGGCGAACTAGTTCGAAGTTTCTATGGGAAAAACTTCTGAATCTTTGTCTTCCTCCTGCCCCCCATCTCTTCTCGTTCTCCAGGGACACCAGGGGCCGCAACAGAGGATACCACCATGCTGCTTCCAGCTGCAGAAGCAAGTGCTTCCTGGCCTCTCTCCCTGACTCTAAGATCGGACTGGCCCTGGGGACAGACAGACATGCAGGGTGTGTGCCCATGTATGTGCTCACATGCATGACCGTGTTCTCGACGCACGTGCTAAGGCACTCCAGGGTCTCTGTGCCTGCTGGGACCGGCCCTCCAAGGGTGTCACTGTGCCCTTCCTTACTGGCTGCAACGTGCCTCTCACCATCGGGCTGGAGCAGCGTTCTGAGACATCAGTAAGGCGCTGCCATGGGGAGGCTGCTACAACGTAAGAAAGAGCTACAGGGGTGCCTGGCAGGCTCGGTTGGAGGAGCATACAACCCTTGATCTCGGGGTGGTGAGTTCGAGCCCCATGTTGGGGGTAGAGATTACAAAAAAAAAAGAAGAAAAAAACTAAAAAAAAAAAAAAATCTTGCCATTTCCAACAACATGGATGGAACTAGAGGGTATTATGCTAAGAGAAATAAGTCAGTCAGAGAAAGGCAAATACCATATGATTTCACGTAGGGGAAGGGAAAGAAGAAATAAAATAAGATGAAATCAGAGAGGGAGACAAACCGTAAGAGACTCTTAACTCTAGGAAACAAACTGAGGGTTGTTGGAGGGGAGCGGGGTGGGGGGATGGGGTCATCGGGTGACGGGCATGAAGGAGGGCACGTGATGGAATGAGCACCGGGGGTTATGTGCAACTGATGAACCACTGAATTCTACCCCTGCAACTAATAACACAGTATATGTTACCTAAATTGAATTTAAATAAAAAGTTTACAAAAGGAAAGAGCCAGAGCTGACATATAAATTTTAAGGAAGACAGCTCTGTGTGCCTACTCTCCTCCAAGTTTGTTTATACCACTGACAGCTGCCTCCGGAGAGTGGCATTTATGAATCCCTTCCTAACAGTGATCATCACGGACACCTGAGAACAACCAGACCCCACCATTTCTTGGCCTCACACTTACAAGGAAGGAGACCCCCCGCCAAGACCAGCATAGAGGCGTTTGGTCCAGCGAAATGCTTTTATGACGTGAGCGGATCAAGGTAAGCCCTTGCTCTTTCAGTCCAGAGCAGCCTAGTCCCAGGGACGAGGCAGCAGGAACAAGTGACGGCAGCCACGTGAGAGAGGTCAACATGGTTCTGTGGGGTGGGGTGTGGAGGGATGGAGAGAATGTGGGGGTTACAGGAGTAGGAAAGGCCTTCCTGGAGGGGGGGGCGCAGCTTGAGCAAAGGTGGGTGTGGTCTGCAGAACACCCAGGTGGTTGGAGTAGCAGACCTGGTGAAGGTGAATGCTGGTCAAGTTGTCAAGGCAGGTGGGGCCAGTCTCAGAGGGCGCTGCCCAGGGTCCTAAGTAAGGCAAGAGGAGCCAGAGGAAAGGCTGGGGGACCTGTTGGCAGAAGGACCTTTCCTAAGGGCCTGGCCACCTCGCTGGACAAGCAAGCCCTAGGGCAGAGAGGCTTTCGCCTGGTGATGGCCAAAAAGGGAAGGGAGGACAGAGTACAAATTCCTAAATGAGAAACAAGCTAGGGTTCTCGGTGTGGCCTCCAGGGCGGCGGGAGCCTGGGTAGGACCTTCCACGGAGGCCCAACGGACACACGCTCCCCTTTCTCTGACGAAATGCCAGTGGATTAAGCAAGCCATGAGCCTGAACAGTCAAAAAAAAAAAAAAAGCTCCTTCCCAACTGCCCGTCAGCAGGCTCCCAGATGGCCTGCCTCCCCTTGGTAAGTAAGGACAGAGGTGGAAGGGCAGAGAAAGGCTCAGCTCTCCCCAACGTGAGCTGGTGGGCAAACCCCCCAGGAAGGCATCTTTCCACAGGGCTCTGTTAACCTGGACCTGCTGGCAGAGGAGGGTGCAGACGACAGGACCGGCCTCTGGGAACCAGTCCCTTGCAAACACCGAGCCCCTTCTCGGCAGCCACCGCCACCACCGCCACCCTGGAGTCCCAGAGACACTCGAGTGCCTTGGCACAGGCTGGTTATTCATTAATAAATGAGAAAACACGCAACCATCTCTGTGACATTTTACAAAAATGCCCAGCAGTCTGGTGGGTGGGCCGCACCATTAACTGCCCACAGCGTGAGGTTAAGGATGATGCCGGCCTGGGCTGCTGTGTGAAGAGCAGGTGCTCAGGAACGATGAAGAGATGCGTGTGGGGCAGAAGGCGGGTAACACATACACAGGCCACAGAAACGCAAGGACGAGGTGCGCTCCAGGCTTCACGCTCAACAGCAACTCAGGACAGTGAGCATTCGTGAGCAGGGAAACAGCTTCTGGGTGATCCTGGCCTCGGTCCCAAGGCAGGATACTCATTACGTGGGATGGCGACAGGAGGTGGAGACCACCCTCATGGCCCACCCCAGCCTAAGGGCCTCAAAGGGCCCCCAGAATGGAAGGTCCTCAGTTGAACCCACAGGGAGCCTAGCAAACGGCCATCAGGCAAAGGGAAAAGATTTGCCCAAGGCCACAGAGCCCATCCATGGTGACTGCAGATGTGGATCAAGGTCTTTCCGACCCCTGCCCAGTGTTCTCACCAAGGAGAGAGATGAGAGAGTGTATGAAGAGTGGCACTCAGTTTCTAAAAACAGCTCTGACCCCAGCCACCTCTCGCCGGCTCCCCCACGGTTCAGCCCTGGTTCTGACCGGCTGCAGCCAGCCCGAGTCCAGGTACAGGCCCTGGCGCACACCCTCGGAGGGCAGGCAGGGCCTGAGGGGAACAGCATCCCCAGCAATCCGGAGACACCCCACCCACCCCGAGATAGTTAAATCTGACTCACTGCTTTAACCCCTCCCCCCACACACACCCTTCCCCAAATTTCCCACCTTTCTCCCTCCTTCCCAGTCCCTGTTCTCCGGTCCTTGCCCTCTCCCTCGCCACCGCCACAGGTGCCCACCGCAACCCAGCCCCCAGCTCTTCCCCCCCTCGCCGTGCTTGCCTGCCAGCCTGTCAGTTGGCTGCCCCTCTGCCCCGGAGAACACCGCTTCCTGCTGCACTTGCCTCCTTTTCCTCTTCTACCTCCCCTAAGCCTCCCTCCACTTTACCATCCGTATCCCAGGTGCTGGTCATATCACACCGCTCCTCTGCTCAAAGCTCTCGCTGGCTCCCCAGAGGCTCAGGACAACAGCCATTCTCCTCAAGGGGCAGCCTCATGAGGCCCCAACACCTGCCCTACAGCCCATTCACACTCGCCCCTGTCCAGAATACCTTGACACCATAGCCTCTGCCTCTCAAATCCTGATATGCCCATTCTCATAACCCCGAAGAAAACCCACTCTCTGACCAATTCTGGAGGTCAGCTCAAAGGCCACCTCCTCCACACAGCCTTCTGAGGTTCCCAGACAATAGGCAAATCACTCCTCTGGGCCCAGGCATGTGGTCATTCCTGTTCATATCCAGGCCTCCCTCAAGTCCTTCATGTCTTCCTCAAGTATGGGGGCATCTCCTGGAGCCCCTCCTGGCGTGGACTAGACAACCTTCACCAACTGTTTGCCAATTTAACTACTCTCTCCACCAACTCCAGAAGAGCCAAACTCTTGGAAACAGTGGTGGCGGAGGGCAGGAAAGCCATGTCCTGGACCAGGGTCCTCTTGCCTCTTCCTGGAAATGCCTCCCACAGCCTGCAGGGGGAAGGGGTCTCTGATGCAAGACTTAAGGGGCCTCAGAACAGCCCTGCCCAAAACAGAGACCAACTGAGCTGTTTGATACTGTTTGAAATCCTTTTGCCAGAAACCAAATTTTTGCAAATAAAGTAAGGGTTGTGCAAGATTGGTATTACTTCTTCCTTAAATCTATGGTAAGACTTCAGTGAAGCCATCTTGGCCCAAAGTTTTCTTTGTGAGATTTTAGATATGGGGCTCTATAGGTTTTCTATTTTGTCCTGAGTCAGTCTCATTAATCCGTATCTTTCAAGGAGTATCCATTTCACCTAAGTTACTAAATGTATTGGCATAAAACCGCTTATAACATTCTCTTATTATCCCTTTAACATCTGTAGGATCTGTAATGATATCCATTGACGCTGACAACCTCTGTCTTTTCTCTCTCTCTTAGACCAGCTGGAGGGGCACCTGGCTGGCTCAGTCAGCAGAGCATGCAACTCTTAATCTCGGGGTCATGAATTCAAGCCCCATGTTGGGCGTAGAGCTTACTTAAAAAAGTAATAAAATATCAGACCAGCCAGAGGTTTATCAATTCTGGGACATTCCAGACTTGGTGTTTTAAACAATGTGTTTGCTCCTCAGTCCCTTCCCAGAAGAAGCGCTCACTAGCTGAGTACCCCTGCAGGGAATGGGGGGAGCACATCAATCCATATTTGCTGTCTGAGCCCCATGAGAAACT